CAAACATGAGCTGTACATTTTATCCTGAACAATAGCTGAGTATGTGTTGATTCTTTAATAAATTTGAATGATGACACCAAAAATATATAGAGCCTATGATAATCACAGGCCCGAACTTAGATATTTCTCTAATGATTTTTCCTTTCCTTATTTTACTACGGAAATACCAAGAAAACTACATCCTCTTAAGTGCCTACATTATACTAGTCACTATGCTTGGGGGTTACCTGTATTGCCTCATTTAATCCTCACACTTGACTGCTGGAATGACATTATTCCCATTTACTTGTAGGAAAAAATCAAGGCCAGAGAGGTTAAGTACATATGCAAATCCACAGTCAGAGGCAATAGATCTGGAATCTCCACACAGGCTCTTCTGATTAGCAACACATCATCCCCAGTTCCTGACATACTACGTTATTGCTGCATAATGAAGGTCACAGTGACTACTGTGGAGCATGTGAGAAAATATAAAATTACTCATCTAACCGATGAGTCTAATGAACACCAGAAGACATTCTCTACAATTGGTTTCAGATTGTACAGATACGTAACTGACTTCCTTTTTAATTGAACAACAGGAACCTACTGACTCACATAACAAAGGATATGTTCAAAATGTACAGTAATTTGTTCTGCTCAAGAAAACCTGTTTGGGGCCACACTTTTTTCTGAAGGGTAACCTTCAAGGTATTTTCCCTGAACCCTTTTTTTTCTCTGCAGATTATAGAGGATCTGAAAGACTAAGATAAAGCACTTCCATTAGAAGTTATAATGACAGACAAACGAGTTTAATAGTGACAGGCAGTGTTTGGTCACTTTCCTATTTCTTTCATGAAAATGGAACCGTCATTCATTCAGCTGGGAGCCTGGTCAATAGGGTGAGCTCCTGTGTGTGTACAGGAAGGGGCCTCTGATAATTGCATGAGGCAGACAATTCATTTGGAAGCTCTAGAAAATCAGAGGTGGAAAAATGAGCTCTCAGCGTCCACCTGGGTTTTGAAAAGCAGATATTTGAAGTTGTGGCAGGCTGCTTTGTAATTAAATTGGTAGCTGAGGTCAGTTTTCATAGCAGTCCAATTCCAGATGTGATCATGGCGTAATGAGCCATGCCTTCGTAAATGTTACATTTCCTGGGATCAAACTATTTGCCAGAATTTTCCTCCTAATTTAAAGGGTTTAAATGCTACATTATTTTGAATAGTATTTTGCTATACTGGTGTGTTTGTGTCATGGAAAACAGTTAGAGGGCATGGCATGGAATAACAGAAAAAGGAAAACCTCTTTCCAGTTTCTACAGAGCAGAATTCACTGTATTCATATCCTGCTGTCCAGGCTTGATTCAAATGGACCAATTTCTCTTTTAGCTACTAAGATAAATGTAGTGTTTACTGAATAAAGGTGATCATATTTTCCACTCTGTTATGTATCAATCTTGAAGCATCAGAATGTTCTTGTTCTCTGGAAACATAATCCATGATATGTAGAGTTTCTTTCTCTTCTGAGATTGGAACCTAGTCTTTAATTTATTTCTATTTTGAACTGAATTTAAAAGCTGATTACCCATCAGAGAAGGAGACTGGCATAATCAGGTAAGACAAGGGCAAACTCCTTGGAATTCTTCTTGGGTAGCTTTTCTAATAGACTGAAACTAATTCTGAGACTCTACCTGTCACTAGGCACAGGGTCTAATTCCCATGCAGCTGAATTAGTTTGTGTGAAATACTCTCTTTCTGAGGCCCCAGACACATAGAATCTATCTCAGTTCTGAAGCAACGACTGTTAATAACCTGAATAATTGTGGAGGCATTCCCCTGTACTAAAAATTATATGCAGACTAAATCACCTGTACTAAAAATTATATGCAGACTAAATTGATTATGATGGATGCAATTAAAATAAATTATGTAAATGCACCATAAGAATAATTAGAACTAGAAATGTTGATGAGTTAATCGCCATGTCTATGTACTTATGACGCAGAAATCAAAGAAATTTGGAAAAAATTTAGATTATCTTAAAGACAAAACAGATTGAAAAGCACTAAAAATAATTCAGTAATGGGGACGAAAGAAGCCTCTTCCTGACATTCATTCAGGACTTTGCAAAAGAGATGAAAAACACACAACTCACTGCATGGAATGTAGGGAATTGACAACCTGAAAACTGAGTGACAAAGAGAAGCACAACTTTGGTATAAACTAAAGGGTGAATTAGGAGTCAAAAGAGAAGTGGCTTTACTGCTCAGTAATTAACTGTGAGGGAAATCTAAGGTCGAAAAGTAATGAAGTGGATTAGAATGTATTCAAAAAGCAAACTTTTAAACAGAGAGGAAACATAACATCAGTGTGAACTCAGGCTTTTGTTCCTCACTTTTAAGCTGTGTCCATTGCCTGGAAGCATCGGCACCCCGGCAGCCATGAGCACCACTGCAGCCCTCATTTGAGTTCTAAATACTAAGACTAATGGTGTCATCTAAAAACAAACAAACAAACAAAACTTAGAAGCCAGATTAAAGATGCTCCTGCAGACAAAGGATGAGACAAACTGAACATCAGAAAGAATAGCGGGGCCGGGCACTATTACAGGAGTGGCTCACTCCTGTAATCCCAGCACAAAAAATTAGCAGGGCGTGGTATCACGTGCCTGTAATCCCAGCTACTCAGGAGGCTGAGGCTGGAGAATCGCTTGAACCCAGGAGGAGGAGGTTGCAGTGAGCCAAGATCGTGCCCCTGCACTCCAGCCTAGGCGATAGAACGAGACTCCATCTCAAATAAAAAAATAATAATTAAATAAATAATGGCTGCAACTAATCATAACAAATTATGGCTCCATGATTTCATAGTAACACTCAAAAAAGTTTTTAAAAGTTTGGAGAAACAAAACAGAATGTACTAGACACTATTGGAAGCTGCTTGCTAAGGCACCAATTCATCATCTTAAACTTGATAGTTACATGGAAAAGTAAGCAAGTGTTCTTCCCTTTTAGCAGGACTTGTTCCTCAGACTAACCCAATGAATATAAGATATCAGTGAAGTTTTCCAAACAGGAGAAATGGTAGAAATAGAAAAGCATCATTTTGTAACTTTATAGTGAAACAAACTTTTTAAAACAAATTAAAAGGTAAAGGTATGGTGCTGTTACTGCTTAAAAGAAACAAGGGATATGTAAAAACTAATGCAATGTGGGAAACATTTTTGGATCCTGATTCAAACAAACCATTAAAAAAAACATTGTTTAGACATTAGGGGAAGTTTGAATATGAGCTATGTATTAGATGACAATATGGTTTTTTTAAACTAATTTTAGTAGAAGAAATAATGCATTATATGACATAAAAAATGTTTTTAATTCATATTGAAGAATTTGGGTAAATGACTTGATATTTGAAATTTTGTTGAAAGCATCCCAGTCAAAATAAAATGGGATCAGGGAGAATAGATGGGAATAAATAAAAATGACAAAATAAATAATGGTCA